CCGTTCTCAGCTGTTACGTTTACAGCGAAGGTGAAGGTAGTGTGTGTCTGTCCTCAGAAAAGGGCCTCCCCCACACCCACGTGACGTGGCCTCTGGAACTTCTCTCTCGAGAGTGGGTAAAGAAGTAGGAAGCCCCCGCCATCCAGAGGGTCACCCCGCGCCCGGTAGAGAGGAGGTCGAGCTCAGGCCTTGGCGCTGGCTCTGGGTGGCAAGGAAGGGAGGGTGGGCCGGCGTTGCAGGGGAGGCCCGAGTGTCTCCTCTGTGTCTGCAGCTTAAGCCGGGTCCCCTGGAGGAGACCTACATCGCCACCATCCTGCGAGAGATCCTGAAGGGCCTGGAGTACCTGCACTCGGAGCGCAAGATACACCGAGACATCAAAGGTCCCTCGGGGCTGTGAGGTGGCAGGCGGCTCTGGGGCACGGGGCTGGCGGTGCTCAGTGCGCCCAGCCTGCGCTCCCCGTGGCCTCGGAAACCCAGCGGTTCCATCTTGCTCTGTCTTCCAGAAGACACTGCCAGTAACGGACAGAGCTTTCTGAGTACCGTGTCCCTGTGCGCTGGCAGAGCAGCTCTGCACGTAGCGTAGGAGGGATCCTATTTAGGCCAAAAACATGGACTTTCGCTCAGGTCTTAGATCTGAGAGTGAGGTGTAGTTAGGGCGACCGTGCTGGTGTACACGAGTGGCCAGGCCACCAGGGAGGGACCTGGCTGAGGGGCTGACGGGAGGTGACTGGCAGAGTGAGGGGACGGTCAGGGTCACCTCCGCCTGTTGTGTGACTTGGGAGGAAGGGCCGTCGCTCTGTGGGATTTTTCGTAAGAGGGGACCACCACGAGGGCCCTGGAGCCTGGCCTGGGGGGAGCACGTGGCTGTGCCCCTCACCTGCCGGCAGTGCCCTGGGGCCCTGGTCAGGTCGTCGGGCGGACGCCGGGAGGGAGGCGCTTCCTCGGGCAGCTGCGTGCGGGCGGGAGCCCTCGTGGCGCGGAGGGTGACGCCCCGCTGTCCTGTGTCGGGCAGCTGCCAACGTGCTGCTCTCAGAGCAGGGTGACGTGAAGCTGGCAGACTTCGGGGTGGCAGGGCAGCTCACGGACACGCAGATCAAGAGGAACACGTTTGTGGGCACCCCCTTCTGGATGGCGCCCGAGGTCATCAAGCAGTCGGCCTATGACTTCAAGGTGGGCGCGGCGGGGGGGGGGGGCAGGGTCGCGGGCGGGGGCGCTCAAGGTGCCCCGGCTGCAGTGGCCCCGTGTGGCTTTCCGTCCAGGCTGACATCTGGTCGCTGGGGATCACGGCCATCGAGCTGGCCAAGGGCGAGCCCCCCAACTCCGACCTCCACCCCATGCGCGTCTTGTTCCTGATCCCCAAGAACAGCCCACCCACGCTGGAGGGCCGCCACAGCAAGCCCTTCAGGGAGTTCGTGGAGGCGTGCCTCAACAAGGACCCCCGATTCGTAAGCACCTCCAGGCCCCCCGCTCCAGCAGGTGCCAGCTTGCGTGGCTGGGCGGGTTCTGGCCGCGCTGGAACCAGGCCCCAGGGGTGTGTGTGTGTGTGTGTGTTGGGGGGGTCTGTGTTGGGAGCTGGGAGGCGATGGGGCCTGAGGCCCCTCCCCTGTGCCAGGTGCCCCCTCTCCCCAGCCTCTCTTGGTCCAGGGTGGGCTCCGCTGCAACCCCCGGCGGGTCCGGGGAAGCTCCAGAGGGCTCCCCCCTGGCAAGGACGGCGTGCAGCACCCCCCAGCCTCCCTGTTGCCCCTTCCCACCCGGAGGCCCCTCACCGAGCCCCCGGGAGCAGCAAGGCTGAGGCCCAGGGCTCGGCCCAGGCTGTTTTGCGCCTGAGCCCCCGGAGCTCGAAGGGCGGAGCTCGAAGGGCGGAGCTTGGCTGCCCGGCGCCAGGTAACCCGTGCCCGTGCCCGGCAGCGGCCCGCCGCCAAGGAGCTCCTGAAGCACAAGTTCATCACGCGCTACACCAAGAAGACCTCCTTCCTCACTGAGCTCATCGACCGCTACAAGCGCTGGAAGTCAGAGGGCCACGGCGAGGAGTCAAGCTCCGAGGACTCCGACATGTAGGGGCCCCGCTCGTCCTGTGGGGCTTCGGTGGGCACAGGGGCGGGGTCCCTGCTCGGGGGTAGGAGTTGGGTGCTTGTTCCTGGTGTCGCGGGCCCAGCGTTCAGGGCCGTGAGGCCAGGTGCGCTTCGCGGCCCTTGTGACTCTTCCTCCTCCCCTTCAGCGACGGAGACCCTGAGGACGGAGAGCAGGGCCCCGTCTGGACGTTCCCCCCCACCATCCGGCCGAGCCCGCACGGCAAGCTGCACAAGGGGACGGCCCTGCATGGCCCCCAGAAGGTCTGGCTGTCCCCGCGCCCACGCCAGGAGGGTGGAGGCCTGTTCAGAGCTGACTGAGGGGAGGGCTGTGGGGGGGCATGTCTCCTGGGCACGTGTGCTCCCCAGGGCGGGTTTCCAGGAGACCGGAAACGGGGCGCCTGAGTTCGCTGCCCTGCTCACCCCTCCGCGCTTTGTGTTTGCAGTCAGCGGAGCCTGTCAAGAGGCAGCCGAGGTCCCAGTGCCTGTCCACGCTGGTCCGACCCGTCTTTGGAGAGGTGAGGGCCAGGCCGGGGGGCCTGGGGGGCAGGGGCTGTATTGCTGTTCTTCAGAGATGCTGCCCCCGCAGGGCCACAGCAAGGTACGCTGGCCAGCCTGCCGGTGCGCAGGCTTTCTGGGTCCCGTAAAGCCCACGAGGGTGGACCTGTGGACCCGGCCTTCTGAGTGGAAGGGCCAGGGATGGCTGGGGCAAGCTGGCCTAAGGTGACCCTTAAGTTCCCAAGCCTGCCAGGGTTCTCTGGGGTCTCAGGGCAGCTTTGATTGTGAATTACTGTCTTAGGACTTTTTGTCTTGAACCAGAAACACGGGGTGACTCTCTTGTCGAGAGAGAGGCCGGGAGATTTAGATCTTGGTGTTGGGTGTCAGGCCCTGGGCAGGGAGCCCTTAAGGACAACTCCCCAGTCAGTGGTCACGTGACCTGGTGTCTGTGTCACTTGCTCATGGGCAGTCGGTAGCATCCCCAGGAGCATAAGTCAGCCGGCAGTGGGTTGTGGTCAGGTCAGGTTCACACCCAGGGTGTCGCTGGCACCTGGAGCTCGGGGGAGGAGGAGGGGATGTTGAGCGTGGCGGCAGCAGAGCCTTTCCACGGAGGGTGGGGTGCGGGCACGGGGCAGGGGCGTCAGGATGCAGGCAGGCACGCTGCCACCTCCAGGGGCCTGGAATGCCTGGAGTGGGGGGAACGGGATTGGGGGGACTGCCCCTGGTTGTGCGGGCACCTGGGGCTGTGCGGCAGGAGCTCTTGGGGCTCAGCGTGGACAGCTGGATCAGAAGCCTGAGCAAGGCTGCCACGGGGCGGGGCCGGCAGCTCTGGGGCTGCGTGGTGTGTGCGCGCGTGTGCGTGTGTGTGTTCATTCGCGTCCCAGCTGCGAGGGGTGGGCCGTGGGCTGGGCCGTGGGCTGGTGTGTCTGGGTAGGGAGGTGGGTGGGGAGGTGGAGCCCCACCTAGGCTGGCTGGGGCCCCCTTAGGGTCCTGACGCTGTGGGCTGGGCCTGCCTGAAGTCGGCTGCTGGGGGGGTGTCCTGGAAGGTGTGCACCCCTGTTTCTGTAGTGTCGGGCGTGGTGGGGACGGGCTGACCAGTCTCCAGCCCCTCCGTGCCAGGCCAGTTGCAGGGAGGGCATCTCTCTCCTTTGGGTCCTCACAGCCCCGCGGTGCTGGTGGCGCCTGGTCCCGAAGGTCGGGCCGGCGGGTCTGGCTGTGTCCTCTCACTTGGCGGACCTGAGCTGTGGGCTTCTAGGACCCTGGTCAGGGGGAAGCCACGTGATTGGAGAGCCAAGGCCTGAGGACGGGGGTGCTGCAGGGGCAGGCGGGGGGTGGGGCAGCCACTGCCTCTCTTGGGAGCCCCGCCCGCAGGCGTTCCGGGGACCTGCTGTCCCAGCTCTGTGTGGAGGGACCACGCTGCGAGTCACAGGCGAGGGGAGCAGGCCACCAGCCTGAGCCTCTGACCAGGCGCACGGGTGTCTCTCTGCAGCTCAAAGAGAAGCACAAGCAGAGCGGCGGGGGCCTGGGGGCGCTGGAGGAGCTGGAGAACGCCTTCAGCCTGGCTGAGGAGTCCTGCCCCGGCATCTCGGACAAGCTGATGGCTCAGCTGGTGGAGCGCGTGCAGAGGTGAGGGTGCTGGGGCAGGGGGGAGGCCCAGGACGCGCTTTGGGTGCTCGCCCTTGGGACAGGAGGCGGCAGGACGGGGCCGCACCGGCTTCGCTCGGTGTCCCGGAGACCCCACCCCGGCCGGCACTGCCGGGCGGCGGCAGCAATGACGGGGCCTCCGGTCCGCAGGTTTTCACACAGCAGAAACCACCTGACGTCAGCCCGCTGAAGCCGCTGCGGTTCGCACACAGGGGAGAGAGGGGTCTTCGTCTTGAGCTGCCTTGTCGAGGACCGCGCTGACTGGAAACCCCGTGTGCTGTCGGGGCCGCCGGCCTCCCTGCCGGGCCACGCCCCCAGCCCTGAGCAGAGGGCCGCCCCGTTGCCACGCCCCCCTCGTGGCCAGGCCACGGCCACACTCGGCAGCAGAGCGGCGCCTGGCCGCCCCCTCTGTGGGCTCCCGGGCAGTGCGGCCACCCAGACTGAGGGGCAGATATGCCTCCTCCCCACCCGGCCCGATGGCCCTTGGAGGTTGTAGATTTGCCTTGTGGTGTTGGATCAGGTACCGTGTCTTCTCATAAGTACTTGTCAGCCAGAATGTTGTTTTTTAAGAAAAATCGAACTTCCTTGCTTCCCTAAATAGCCTGAGGGTAAGGAGTTGGTTTTCATAGAACGTTGAGAAGTTCCTGCCACTTTCAATAAAGACCTGACTTGGAGACATGCTGGTGGTGGCCGGGCGGGGTCCACAGCCTGCGCTCCAGGCCTCTGAGCTCGTCACAGCGCGCAGGGACCACGTGTGCCCACTGGAAGGAGAGGGGCAGCACGCAGGCATACAGGAGATGCCCTTTATTTTTAACCACACGCAGGTTAGCACAGCACACCTCCTGGGAGCTGATAAATTACGGGGACTTTGCTTTCCACTTTGCAGAGGTCTGTGGGGTGGGCGGCAGAGTGGTTTCTGCTGGACTTCCATGTGGCTGTGACCCAGGGGCCCTGTCCCACCCCCCGTTTCACCCAGCCTGAAGGGCAGGGTCCTGCTCTGGAGGCGCAGAGAGGGCAGGTGGGCACCAGCCTCGGCAGTGCATGGAGCCGGGCCCATTTCCACGCACATGTGTGTTCGTCCCGCTGCCCCACGGGGCCAAGGGAGTGACTGGGTCTTGAGGGGACTGTGCCCCTCCCAGGTGTCCCTGTGAGTGAGGCCCATCCACTGCCAGTCTGGAGGGGGGACACGGGACGTGCAGTCATGGGCACGTGCTGCTCTGCTTGCTCGGGTCTGTCCTCAGCCGGGCAGGGTGGGCTTCACGCCTCCTCCTCGGAGGTCCCGGCCCTCCCTGGTGAGGTGCTGGCGCTCTTGATCACCTCCATCCACCTGAGAAGAGGTTTCGGGACCGTCAGGACCGGGACCCGTCCCCCGCCCACAGCAGATTGGGAAGTGGGCGTGCTCTGACCATCAGACCAGTGGGCTTGCGCTCAACTGTCTTCCCAAGAGTGACCCCAAATAAGGAGGGCATGGGACTCAGCATGGGCCAGTTAAAAGCCTGGAAGCAGTGCTCAGTCCTTCCTTTCTAGGACCCAGAAAACCCGCCTCTGGTGTCCTCAGTGGAAGAGGGAGAGCCGAGGAGATACGGGGGGCCCTGGCAGCCCCCCGCGAAATTACCTCCCTAGCGTGTATTTGCTCTCAGCCCGGAAGAAGTAGACGTGGGACTTGAACTGGAGCTTGAAGACGTGCTCCTTGTGGATGCCGTCGGCCTTCCCGGGGAGGCTCACGCTGTAGCCCAGCAGCGGAAGGCTGGCCAGGGGGCAGTCATCCTGGAAGGCAGCAGGGCACGCGCTCGCCAGGCGCCCAGCCCCCCGCCTCTCCCCACACGGCAGCAGCGGCGGGGCCAGGCTCGTTCAGAACCGAGGGGGTTCTGTGAGGGCGCAGTGGGCGGGCCTGGCGGTCCTGCAGTGCCAAGGGCAGAGCCCCCCTCGGGCTCGGTTAAGCACCCCTACCTGGTGAGTTTTGTAGAAGAACAAACAGAAATTGGTGAAGACCACCCACAGCTTCTGCCAGCCGCTACTGTTCTTGAACTTCCTCAGCAGGTATCCCGAGAGCTGGTTCTGGAAGGAAAAGAAAAGCCTGTGGGCACGGGTGTCCAAGAACCGCCAGCCCCAAGACAGCCACTCTTGTGGGCTCTGTCCTCCCAGGGGCCTCCTGGGAGCAGGTGTCTCCCCAGGGTCACCCCCCACAGGCTTCGCTGGCTCCGCACTGACACGAACGCAGTGCCCTTCCCCGTGCTCTGACGCTCTGCTCGTTGGCAGCTAACAAAGGAGGGTGGTAAAAAGTCTGGACAACGAAGTAGAATAGCGCTCAGTTTCTTTCCCGTCATCACCAATCCCCTGTGACACGGAGCCCAGACAGGAAGGTTCTCAGGCGGTGGGGGGCAGGGGTGCCCCGTAAACAGAGGCCCACGCAGCCAGCGGCCCGGCCTGCAGCGTGGCGCTGTTAGGGAGAGGAGGGGCCGCCCCGCTCAGCCCCGAGGCCTGCGCCGCTCTGCGCTGGCCCTCCTGCCCTCCGGCCGGCGCCACCGCTTCCGTCCTCGCACCTCGTGCTGGGGCGAGGCACACGGGCCCGAGTGCATCCACAGACGGTAGGGCCCCCCCCATGACGCAGGCCTCTGCCCCCGTCGGGGCTGATGCTCACGAGGGCCCCGCGCCTCTGACACGTGAGGGGGTGGCACAGACGGTGGACGCGGTGTCCAGGGCCACTCCGCCGTCTTGCAGGCCCCAGCGAGCTGGCCACAATCCCCGCTCTTCCCCGCCCCCCCCCCGCCCCCCGCCGTGTCAGGACCCACCCACGCTCCTCACCTGCTCTGCTGGTCCCTCCCCCAGCTTCCGCGGAAGCTCAGGACAAGTGGAGGCAGAGGTGGCCCAGGCGCAAAGAGGCCGCTCCCGGTGAGGGAGGCAGCCATCCCAGGATCCCGGGGCGACAGGCCCTTCGGAGAGAGCTCCTGACGGCGCCCTCCCGGCCCCGCCCACCCAGGCTGCTCTCCCCTGCCACCGTGGACCCCGGGCGTCCCATCAGCCCACACAAGCAGGGTCTCCAGTGGCCGCACCTCGACGGCCGCGCTGCGGTCGGCTCTGGAGATGCTGGTGGTGCGGTCCCAGCACACGTGCATGGCAGTGCTGGCCCGGTGCTGGCCCGGCCCCCCTGAGGAGCAGCGGGCCCTGCGAGCGTCCTCTTCCGACTCCTCCAGAGAGACCTCGTCGGAGGGCCCTGGGGGAGAAGTCAGCCCCTGCTCAGAGGAGACGGGACCCGCCCGCGCCCCCGGCCAGCAGCAGGCAGGGTGCGAGACCACGTGCTGCTCCTGCCAGAAGAGCTCCCGCCCGCCCGAAACGTCCCTCGTGGACGGAGAGCACGTGGGCCCAGCGGGCTGCCCGTGACCTGGGTGACACCCACGGGAAAGCTTCCTTGTCTCCTGGGGGCCCGGCCAGCACTCACTGCGGGGAAGGGGGCACAGCACGCTGCCCAGCGGTGCCAGGGCCGTGTCGGCGCTGCTCTTGGCTGCATTGATGGCAGCGTTCAGGTCCCTCATCCACTTTTCCTTCTCCAGCTGGGTGCTGCGGGGCAGGGCCGAAGCTCAGCCACTGGGCAGGGCCCCCTCCCACTGGAGGGCAGAAGGCCAGGGTGCCTGCTTCCCCCTCGTGCGCCCTATCCTTCGGGTCCAGAGGGCTTGTCAGGACGCTGCTGGAGGCCCAGCCTGCACCTGTCACGCTGGAACGGGGGTGCTCTACAGGGTACTTGGTTCCTGGAACGGGTGTTTAGGTCTCTGGGGCTGTGAAGCTGAAATATGAGACTGGGTCCTGGATCATAAATTAAGCTGCCAGGGTTTCCCGGTGGGAGTCCAGTGCCCTGTGCTCTGACATCAGCCAGGACCCCGCAGGATGGGAGCTGAGAGCCAGGCGCCGCCCGCCCGGACACAGGACGACACCTTTGGAAGAAGCTGGGGACGCGGGCTCCCACAGGGGAGGGACCAGGCACAGCGTCCAGGCCGCCAGGAGCTCGGGTCGCCTTGCTGTCCACAGGGTGTGGGGAGTGGGGAAAGCGTCTGTTTGCTCCTGTGCTACGGCCCAGTCAGCCTCCTGCTGCCCAGCTCCGGGGCGGGAGGCACGTGACGCTAGGCCTCGGTGTGGCCGCCCCGCCGGGCTCCCCCCACTAGCCCGCCGGCCCCCTCCCTTGAGCAGCCAGCAGTGTCACAGCCAGTCTCTGCGGATGGTCTCAATGGTCACAAGCTCCCACGGACAGTGAAGCTGCTCCTGCGGTCGCGTAGCTTTGATGCAGTGCTCGAGGGGCTGCGTGTCCCCGCGACCGCAACACTCTCACAACTCAGAGGGGACCAGGGCCGCTGGGATGCGGAACGCGGGCGGAAGGCCCTTACCTGGCTGCCACCACGACTGTCTTCTGAGCGGCGTAGATGGTGAAACAGTGCGGGACAGACCACTCATTCTCACGTTCTTCCACCTGCGGGCGGGAGAGGAGGGGAGTGTGACCCGGAGCGGGGCTGGCGGAACCCGAGCTTGCGGCAGGACACAGGTGCCGACCAAGCCCACGCCGACTCTACGAGGGGTTACAGGAGACACAAGGGATCCCCGCGCCATGGCGCCTGCTGCCCAGGTGGGCAAGCTGAGGGCCATGGGCACCCAACTACTCACCGGTGGGTCCAGCACTATTAGCTGAAAATCAAGCACGGGAAAAAAGGTTGAGCATTTTAGTTGAAAAGGGAGTTGGACAATTCATGTTTGTAAAGTGGTACCAAACGCTAACAGAGTTAGATTCAGGCTAATCTCAGTTATAAGAGATTAAGAGAAGTAACTCCAGAACAAAGTATTCCTTAATCAGACCTAACAGCCTAGAGGAGAAACTGTCCTCTGACCAAGTGAGCTTGTTCTAGGAATGAGGAAGGTGACTGATGGAACCCACCCTGTCACAAAGTCAAAGGGAGAAGAGTGACCATCCCCCTCCACATGCTGAAACACCTTTGCCAAAATCCCACACGTTATTTCTGATAATATCTCTTATATACAAACAGAAGGAAACGGTGTCTTTCACAAGCCAGGAGTCACCATCCTTCCCTCCACAGTCAGGAGCGAGGGCTGGCTGTCTGTCCCCAGGACCAGCCAGTTACAGGTGACCCACCCCAGAACATGGGATGCCAACCACCGAGCCTCACGCTGGACTTAAAAGGGTCTGAAACTAACAGGAGCGCAGCCAGGAGGAGAAGGTTATCAAGATGTCGGCCGCCCCCTCCAAGTCAATATGTAAATTTAATGCAATTTCCACAGAAACGCCAATGTTGTTTCTTGAAGGAATCTGTCCAAATGACTCCAAAGTTTATTTAGAAGAATTAAATAAATACTTGAGCAAAGAACTGTTTAAAAAGAAGGACAAATAAGGGAAGGAACTTACCCACACAGTGACTAACCCTTACACCACCACTAATTAGAAGAGTGTAGACTGATGTTGGGACAGACAGAAATGGAACAGAACCTTCAGAAAGAATCCAAGTGTAAGGACAAGAATTTTTTATATAATAAAGGCAGACTTTGGGATCAGTAAGAAAATGGAGGATGTAACAAATAATGGGACAACTGACTATACGAGGAGAAAATGTTACATCCCAACCTAAAAACATCAAAACCAACAAATTTTAGGCGGATTAGGTAAAAGAGAAAAAACCGTAAGCACAGCAGCAAAGAAAGTCCCACAGCAATGTAGTGTTGGTGTGGGAAAGACTTTCTGAGCCCGTGCCAAGGACAGAAACCCTAAATTAGGAAAAGATGGACAGACCGACCACAGAAAAACATCTAAGTTCACCCCTTCAACACATATTCGTCGGGCCTCTGTGCCCGTGGCCATTCTAGGGACAAGACAAACGCGATCCCCGTCTGGAGGGACTTTATAAACTCTGAGGTGACACTGAAGTGCAGGCAAAGTGACGGGAATTACGTACCTGGAAGGCACCTGAGACCTGGAAGGGTTTAGGAACGCTTCACAAACACTAACAGGCCAGAGCGACAGACGCACCCGGTGCCTCCTGGGGGAGAGCAGAGGGCGCAGGAAGCGGCCTTGCTGGCCATCCCTGGGGCGCGGAGGACGGGGTGGATGGCCAGCGCTGCCCAAGGCTGGGACGGCGCAGGCGCAGACGGGCCTGGAGGGAAGGCCACCCAGTCAGCCGCTCCTACAGCCACTCGGTGGGAACAGGGAGCCCCAGGCTCACATACACGCGTGGCGGTTTATCTCAAGGCCGTAACTAAGGACGCGTAGAAAGATCCAATGGTGCTGTTTCTAATTCTGAGAAACTAGACGTAGCCAAAACGTCCGGTGCAGGGAGCTGGTTAACTAAAGTGTGCTTCGGCGCCCCAATCCACTACTCACGGCTCCTGAGCCGGTGGCAGAAGCAGAGGACACAGGAGCATGTTCGAGGTGAACTGCCGAGCAAAGCCAGTGCGGATTACAATGCAGCTTGTGGCGGGTGTTCCCCAGATGATGGCGAAATGCTGACAGCACTTACTACTGGGCAGTAGTACAACGATGAGTGCTTTTCACTGTACATCTTCAGTTTTTCTCTATGCTGAAGGTATAATTTTTAAAAGTATACTTTAAAACAGATGGGGTCTGCTTCCAGGGATGGCAGGTGAGGTCATTCAAACTGACCCCTTTTTGCTGGGAGTTGGAAAAGCTGAACAAATGTTACAGAGACACCTGCGGAGGCTCTGATGCTCTCTGGAAGGTGGTGCAGTGCCCAGGGTGCGGATGGCGGGGAGAAGGGCCAGACGCCACGAAGGAGAAAGGGGCGGAGGACGGCGCTGACGCTTTGGGAATTGGGAACTGGACAGGGGTCGGACCCCACCCATCCTACACCTGGACGGGGCCTGGCAGGGCTGCAGGGAGAGGTGCTCACTGCGTAAGATGTTCTGGACAAACAGCACATCTTTATAGCAAAAACCTGAACTTGGCCTCCTATCTCTGCTGTTCCCAAAGATGGGTTCCAGGCCGAGTCTAGGTTTACACTCAAGAGGGAGTCTCTCCATGACCTTTAAGGCCACAGAAGGCACTGACCACGGAGGAGAAGACAGACCGCATCCCATTAAGACGAAGAATTCCCGCTCATCAGAGACAATATTAACACGCCACGCGGCACTCAGACGGTGGGGATGCGGACACGCCCTGGCGGCATGTGGTGTGGACAGAGCATGAGGTGCGGCCCAGCCCCTCAAGAGCTCTGAAGACAGAGCTTGCGCCTCTTCACGGGGTGGAGGTCAAAGGACAAACGAGAGGACACAGCACGACTCAGTGGAGGTCACCGGGAGCTTCCCTGGGGCCAGTCCTGCCCTGCAGCCCACCCTCTCTTTAGCGGTGGTGGTCTCTGTTTTACCATTATAAAGCTGTGTGTGTGTGTGAAATAACTAATTATGATGCCCAAAGAAACCCAAATCGTCAGTATAAAAGAGAGAAGTATAAAATCGAGGAAGTGAACACTCTACAGTCTTAAGAATTCGGGGTCCAGCTTTCTCTTCTCAAAGCTGTGTCAGCACCCAACCCCTCCAGCAGCGCGGTGGCCCCAGCGCCCGACCCAGGCTTTTCACGGAGTCTCCCGCCAAAGGACAGGGCTCCCTGGGAGGAGTAGGTGGGTTCCTGGCGGAGCTGGGCCTTGTCCTGCAGGGGCTGGTGGCCTTGGTCAAGAGGCCCTGGAGGGGCTGCAGGTGGGGCTGTTTGAGCACCGAGAACAGTAGCCATAACAGGGTGAAAAGGCGTGAACAGCCCGGCAGGTACTGCCACGCGGCGCGGCCCCCGACCCCCGGTCCGGACCCGCCCGGCGCCGGGCGCTCACCAGCATGCCACGCAGCGGAAGGAGTCCCCGGATCCGGAAGCGGCTGGTCTCTGAGGCACCTCTGCCTGTGTACAGCAGCATGTCTGAGAACTGAGGGACCAGAAGCTTTAGAAAAATGAATTCTAAAAACAAGTAACAAGGATTCAACATCTTAACAATCAGACCAACTTCAACTCCAAGGGCCCCGTGTGCTTACGCAGTTTGCTGGAGGTTTTTGGCAGAAAAAGGATTTTTGTTCCATTCGTACAGTCATTTTGCCCAGGGGTGACCAGCAACCACATGGGCCAGCAGACCTCTTGGCCGGCGGGAGGCGCTGGGGGGCTGGTCCTGAAAGTCACCCCCACCCAGGAAGGCTGGGGTTTGAATCCACTAGCTGGGCGCGAGGAAGGGAGCTGACAAAAGGGGACCTGCTGGCGGCAGGGACTTGCTGGGAGGACCTCTGGGCTCGTGAGTAAGGCCCTGCGAACTGACGCTGGCACGAGCAGAGCGGTCCTGCAGCCGCAGGTGTGTGGATTTTTCTACCTTCGGGCTTTTGCTCATCCTGCAGACAGGTGCCCAGAACCCAGAATAAGGAAGGTGGCAGGCCCGGGAGTGTTTCTGCGACCCTCTCCGGCTCCTGACAATGAGGCCGCCCGCCTGGACCGCGCCCATCGCACCTACCAGAAAGAACATCCTCTGCTGCAGGCCCTTCCTGGTGAGCTTGTGGAGGCAGCCCTCGCGGATAAACTCCTGCAAGACACCATCGGGGTCCCTGTGTGCTGGCCGAGGGCACCTCGGGCCCTTCCGCGGCGCCCTCCTGCCCGGATGGATGCCTGAGGACCCGCCGTGCCACTCCAGCCTCCCTCCCGTCCGCTCCCCTCGGTCACCCGCATCCTGTTTGGTGTCGGTTAACTCGGTGCCTGGTCTCTGAGCTCCCACAGGCCGGCTGTGCTGAGAGCCGGCACACAAGGCAAAGGGCATTGTTGAGGGGCAGCTTCTGGAAGGTTCCACCATGGAGATGACGTGAGTTCAGCTCTGAGAAAAGCTGGGCGGGGCAGCTTGAGAATGGGAGGGAGGAGGACAGGACACCTGGTTCCCACCAAACGTCACAGGGGACTTGTTAGCTGCCACCCTGGTGCTTGAGCAGAGGATTCCTAAGGCCACGAAGGTGCTACGGCCCAGAGTGAGACCCTCCCGTGGGCTGAGGCTCAGCGGAAGCCCCCCGTGTCCCGGGCAGCCCTCTCCCCCCGGGACTCGGGGCTCCCCTCACCGCCGGGCCGGGCCCCGCACCTGCCTCCGGGGCACAGATGTCTGACATCCCTAACTGCCTGCGCCCTGGCTGAAGCACTGTCCCGGGGACCCCAACAGTCCGCTTTGGACGATTTCTGGGGACTCTTCTACCGTCTGCTGTTCTATCAGACAAACAGCACGGGCTGGTGCCCCGAGAACACCCCGGCCTTAACAGCCCTCAGATGACCTGAGCAAGGGCACAGGGAGGAGAGCTCACCCAGTAATCCTCACGGACACAGCGAGATGAGAAACCAGCCCCAACCCAAGGGACAGCCCTGCAGGAGGAGGAGGGCGGCCCCCAGCCCTCTCTGGGCCGCAGCTGGCAGGCCTTCCTGCCGTCGTTGCAGGGCCAGCTCCGCCGCTCCCCAGAGACCCCAGCCCTTGGGGGTGCGCTCCCCGAGGTCCCGCCTCCTCAATGCCCGGCAGTGCCCACCCTCGGGGCCTCGTCACCCACTTCAGTTCACAGCCCTGCTCCTCGACCCTGCGCTCAGACAGCTGGGGTGGCTCGTCTCTGACTGAGGCACGCATTTCTCTTGGGGAGGCCAGGAACCCCGGGGGTCAAGGCAGGACTCGGAGGCCCTGACCAATAGCAGCGGTGACGGCAGCAAGGCCGCCCCGGGGAGCCCGCCCGGCCTGCTCTACGTGGCTGCTCTTGTTTACTTGCCCCTCTGGTGACAGTTTCCTGGGGCCGCCATCTATAAGTCACTGCGCGGGGCACTCAGAGAAACAACAGTGTAACAAGAGCCCTCCCAGCTCCCAGCCAAGGCCCTGCTCCAGGAGGGCAAAACCTTCCTTAGTCTTGTTTCTTTGAGCTCATGGTCCCACACTCGCAGTACCTTTCTTCTAACAAGGGCTAATGCAAAACAGGATTTATACACCCACGCTCCAATACTCTTACGTTTGTGCTGAGACAGGAACATCCCACATCCCTGTGCAACCCTTTGTTTTCGGGATCTTAGTTCCCTGACCAGGGATCGAACCTGCGCCCCCTGCATTGGAAGCATGGATTCTTAACCACTGGACTTGTGCAACCCTTAAAACAATTTTCTTTTGCTGACAGTACTGAGTCCAAAGCAAAAGGAATTAGTGACAGAAAGTAAGCAGCCTGGGAGACATACAGACCCATGGATACAACTGAAGGTTCAAAAACGAACTCACACTCCATGGCCCACTGATTTTTGACAAAGGAGTGAAGACAGTTCAGCAAAGGTGTTGGGACAACTATACATCCACTTGGAAAAGAGCAAAGTTGGACCCATATCTCACACCATACACAAAACTCAAAATGATCAGCTCTAAATGTAAGAGCTAAAACATAAACAACCTTTAGATGAAAACACAGAGGTAAACCTTCATACCTTGGATCAGGCAACAGTTTCTTAGCTATGACACCTAAAGCACAAGCAACCAAAGAAAAAACAGACAAATTAGACATCAGCTAAATTAAAACCTTTAGTGTTGTAAATGATACCATCAAGAAAGTGAAAAGATAACCCACAAAATGGGAGAACATATTGCAAGTCATGTTCTGGCAACGGTCTGGTATCCAGAGTAGATAAGGAATCTCGCAACAGTAAAAACACAACCCAATTAAAAGGTGAGCAAAAGACTTGAAGAGGCATTTCTCCAAAGAAGGCACAGAAATGACCAATAAACATATGAAAAGATGCTTGATGTTAGTCACTAGGGAAATGCAAATCACAACCACGAAGGGATGCCACTATGTACCACCAGGACGGCTAGAATCAAAGACAAGATATGGAGAAGGGCTTCCCTGGTGGCGAAGTGGTTGAGAGTCCGCCTGCCGATGCAGGGGACACGGGTTCATGCCCCGGTCCGGGAAGATCCCACATGCCGCGGAGCGGCTGGGCCCGTGAGCCATGGCCGCTGAGCCTGCGCATCCGGAGCCTGTGCTCCACAACGGGAGAGGCCACAACGGTGAGAGGCCCGCCTACCGCGCAAAAAAAAAAAAAAAAAAGACATGGAGAAGTCGGAACCATTCTATACCCTTGGCGGGAACGTAAAGTGGTGCAGCCACTGTGGACAACTCTGGCGGTTCCTCAAAACGTTAAACACAGGCCCGGCAATTCCACTCCTAGGTATGTACGTTTGTGCCCAGGAGAAATGAAAACACATGTTCACACAAGGACTTGTACATGACATTCACAGAAGCACTATTCACAATGGCCGAAAAGTGGAAACAACCCAAGTGTCTATCAGCAGATGAACAGGTAACCAAAATACGGTGTCTCCAGAGAATGAACACTATTCAGGCACAAGAAGCAATGAAGCCCCAACACAACACACAACACGAATGAAGCTTGAAGACACTGCACTGAGTGAAAGAAGTGAGACACAGAAGGCCACACACCGTGAGAGTCCATGTGTATGAAATGTCCGGAGAGAAGCCCAGAGACAGAAAGCCGATGAGAAACTGCCAGGGACCGGGGAGCGGGGCGGGGGCGGCTGCTGACAGTGATGGGGCTTCTTTTCGGGGAATGAAAATGTTCTGGAATTAGTGGTGACGGTTGCACAACCTCATGAATATACTGAGAGCCACCAAGTCACACATTTTGAGTTATATCTCAATTAAAAACAGTAACCAGTTCACAGAACTTTCTCAAAGTCACTCACCCTGCCGGGAGCAATAAGGTTCTCTATGCCGACCAAGTCCCGCTGCAGCTCCATCAGCTTCTGGAGGTTCTCCAGCCGGACGAGGCTGTGCTGGAGTGTGGAGGTCACCTCCGTGATGGCCTTGAGGGCTTCTGCGTGGGGAGGTCCCTCAGTACAGGTGCCCGGGCAGGTGAGCTGGGGATGGCATGGTCGAAACCCTCCACCCACCAGTTTGTGACAGGAACTGACAATTTAAAGGTGGTTTTAATTCCAGGAACATTGTACTCAAACTCCTCACAGGACTGCTAGGGACAGCAAGTGTGGGTCCCTGCAGATGACCTGAAACGTGGACTCGTTCAGCCCAAACTGCTGACTAGCCAACGCTCACGCTCGGTAAAGAGAAAGGGCAGAGTCTTTATAAACAACTATTTAACGTTACGGGCAAAGCAGCGTCGCCCACCCTCATTTTACCTGTGCTGCTCTTCTTTCACATTTCCCCTAAAATGCATGGAAACATTCTGGGCAATTTTGTCCCCTCCTTTTTGGCAAACACAAAACACTTGCTTTCAGGATGCAGAGCAAGGGCGCTGTCCACATCATACGGTCTGTTTTGCTCCCTGTACGTCAGAAAGTTATCTGATCTATTCTCAGGACACCGGGAGACCCGCTGGAAGGAAGGGCTACCTAGCTCTTCGTATTGTACTTTCAGAGACAGACAGCGGTGACCGGACCTGAGAGGCAGTGACTTCCTGCTCTACGTTTGTGCTGCAGCTGGAAGTCAGTCCTATCTGAGGTCACAAGGGTCAGGGTTTATTCCTCCGTCCCTCTCACCAATGACAAAGCCCACCGACATCAGAAGCTTCCCCCAGGCCACGTGGCCCCCCAGGTGTGCGGCTCAGAAGCAGACCACCGACCCCCTGCCCTGGGCGCCGCGGGCGGAGAACGGGGTGCCCGCGGGGGCTGGGTGTTGTGCGCGCACTCACCGCGGCGGTCGGCGCGGTCCTGGTCGCCGCGGTCGGGGTCCTGGCGGTCGGAGGCGCACAGGCGACGCAGCAGCAGCCGGTAGTGGCGCAGGCGCTGCAGCGGCTTCAGCAGGAAGGCGTTCAGCGGCAGGTAGCAGACTTTCTGCAGCTCGAAGTCCCGGCGCAGCGCCTCCAGCCTCCGCAGGCGCCTGCTTGCCGCTTCCAGCTCCGTCAGGACCTCGTGGAGCCTCTGGAAGTGGCGGGTGAGCGTCTGCGGGGCGGGGGGCAGCTGAGCGGCGGCCCCCGGGCCCCGCCCTCCCCTGTCCGGTCTCCCCCTACACCGGTCTGCCTCGGTGGGCATCACAGGGGACGCGCCGGGCTGGAGGAACGCCGCCCGGCGGCCGCGCGTGCGTGCGGGCCCTAAGTTCACGCCGCGCGCCTCCGCCTCCGGGACGCGCTCACCACCCGCCCCCAAAACCGGGGGCCTGGAGGCACGGCGGGGCCTCGGGGGCGGGGCCTCGGGGCGGGGCCTCGGCGACGCGCTGGCGGCGCCCACCCCATCGGTCCCGGTCCCGCGAGAGCGCCGAGCGCTGGAAGCACGACCCGCGCCGCCGCCCGGAGCGCTGAGGCCGCGGGAGAGGCCGGGAACGGGCGCGAGCTCAGCAGGAGCAGCTGCACCGGCCCGCGGCTCTGAGGGGAGCCCGGCCCGGCGGGACGCGGCCCTGGGGGAGCGCGCTTTATCCTGAGGAGAGCGTGTCGGGACGAGAGTGCCGGCCAGCGCTGCGCTGCGCGGAAGGCGGCTCTCAGAGGACCTGCCCTGAGGGGGGCGTGTCCCGAGCGGCAATAGCGCTGGGGGCGGAGCGCGCGCTGACCCGGACGCCGTCCTCTCGGGACGCCGCGCTGCCTGAGGGGAAAGCTGCCCTGACTCGTGCACCACTCTCAGGGGAACACTGTCCTGGCGGGGAGGCCGGCGCCCACACGGCCAGCTGCTAGGCCGAGAGCCGCGCGCACACCCGCGCTACCTTTAGCTGAAGCATGTTGCTGAGCAGGACGTCCCCGATGCGTCGGTGGTCGCCTGTGGCCTGGGCACTGGAAGACCCCTCCCTGGAGTGGAGACGGACAGACAGACACGGTCAAAACCTCGCGACAGCGTGTGAGATACGCTTCGCTTGCTGCCAGTGCCCTGGGGGGTCCCAGGCTCAGCAAGCACCTCTGAGGGCGAGGCCGTACTTGACAGAGGCAGTTGTCACATCTCCGCCATCCTCCAAATGGTGACCGGGCAAAAAGGGGTCTCCTTGTAACCTGCCTCTGCCCTCTCCTCTGCAACAGGGTGAATGCAAGTGACGTTCCCTATGGACTAACGCCGTCTCGTGCAATAGCGGCCCTCGTGAACTAGCTAGGACGCTGGGAAGCTCCCGCGCACAGGGACGGGGGCGCGGGCGGGGCAGCCTGCGGCCGTTACCAGAGCGCCAGCCTCTGCTCCACCTCGCGCAGGAAGCCGCTGTGGAACTCATAGATGGGGTCGATGTTGGAGAAGAGCAGGGTCATCAGGTCCGCAGGCATGGCGTCCGCCTTGACCACAGCGCTCCGGAACCACTGCCGGGAGAGCTCAGGGTGACCCAGGGACCTGGCCCCTGACGACACACAGCACCGGCCCCGGAGCCCCCACGAGGCCAGCTCAAATCAGCGCCGCGGCTGACCAGCCAGTTTGCACAACAGAAGAGAGCAATTCTGGGTGAAAAGCTTCGAAGGGATATATTCCCAGGTTCACAGAAAATCGGACCCAATATTCTGACCTGACGTAGACATGTTTTAAGGCAGGCGTATTTAACAGAACATGCACACACACACACACACACACGCAGGTCTCGGGGGGGGGATCCTGTGTCTCTGGCCCAGATTTAAGAAGTATTAAGAAAATCAAAGCAACAAGGGACTTAGGTTTCATACCACGGTAATAACTTCTAAATCCTTCAGGTATGTTCGCTCTGTAGCAAGAATCTCCTTTGCTATGAAGTAGGCCTCGTCCGCGGGCGCACACTGCAAGAAGTGCAGACAGCGTGAGCGTGTCAGCCGGCCACGTCGCCGACGGTCCTAGCGCGCCAGCTCTTCTGCTCAAGTTAACGCTGTCACGTGATCTTCACGTGCACTTCCTGAGAGCGTCACTTCTAAGTAAAGATATAAGCCCCGCTGTATCGCCCCCAGATGTTCTTCTCATTTTATATTATTCTTTTTTGAGAAAAGAATTGCTGTTTAAACAGCAACATATAGTGAAGCTAATTACTCATTTTGTGATGAAATTACTGTTCAGATATCACTCACAGGACTGTAGCTGCTTAACACACAGATACAGGCACACCTCGGAGAGATAGCGGGTTGGGTTCCAGACCACCACAATAAAGCAAATATTGCAACGAAGTGAGTCACATGAATTTTTCTGGTTTCCCAGTGCATATAAAATTACATTTCCCCCATACTGTAGTCTATTAAGGGTACAACAGCCTTGTGTCTTTCCCTTTTTTTTTGGCCATGCTGCACAGCTTGAGGGACTCTAGTTCCCTGACCAGGGACTGAACCTGGGGCCATGGCAGTGAAAGCACCAAGTCCTAACCACTGGACCGCCAGGGAATTCCCACATTATGTCTAAAAAAACAATGTACATACCTTAATTAAAAATTACTTAATTGGGACTTCCCTGGTGGCAGAGTGGTTAAGAATCTGCCTGCCAATGCAGGAGACACGGGTTCGAGCCCTGGTCCAGGAAGATCCCACATGCCGCAGAGCAACAAAGCCCGTGCGTCACAACTACTGAGCCTGCGCTCTAGAGCCCACGAGCCACAACTACTGAGCCTGCACTCTAGAGCCTCCGAGCCACGACTACTGAAGCCTGCGTGCCTAGAATCCATGCTCCGCAACAAGAGAAGCCACCGCGATGAGAAGCCCACGCACCCAAACAAAGAGGAGCCCCTCCTCCCCACAACTAGAGAAAGCCCATGGGCAGCAACGAAGACTCAATGCAGCCAAAAAAAAGCAAAACAAACAAAAAAAACTACTTAACTGCTAAAAATACTAACCATCATCTGGGCCCTCAGTGAGTGGCAGTAGTAACATCAAAGCTCACTGACCACAGATACCACAACAATCATAATAATAATGGAAAAGTTTGAGGTATTGTGAGAATTATCAAAATGTGACACAGAGACACAAAGTGAGCAAATACTATTGGAAAAATGGTGCTGGCAGACTTGACACAGGGTCACCACAAACCTTCCATTTGTAGGAAAAAAAAAAAAGCAGTACCTGCGGAGTGCAATAATACGAGGTCTGCCCATGCATGAATGTATGTGATTAGCAACAGTTAAGCCTAACTCACACGAAAGTCATTAAAATTGCCAAGCAATGTACGTTTTATCTGTGCCGGCCGTTAGAGCCGGAGGCTGGCTGACATGGCCCAGCCCCGGGGCTCTTAAACCTGCGACAGGGCCGCTGACCATCTGCAGGGGCCACGGGCAAGTCAGCGGTGACAGGACCCTCAGGAGCGGGAAGGGCAGCACAGCGCTCCCAGCGAAGCACAGGCCTCGTGCCCACCTGGGCTGGGGGCTGTGTCTTATCCCTGCAGGGCCCCACCCCACTCTGAGCACACCTCAGAGAGCTGCCTCCGCCTCGGTCAAGGTCGGTGCATGGCCTCTCCTCCACCCTCTCCTACCTGGCGGACACCTGGTCCTGCTCTGCCCCCGCACGCTCGCCCCGCTGCTCTTCCCCCAGATGGAGGATTTAGGGCCGACCCTCCCACGTCTGCAGCCATGCCAACAGGCACCTGGGACGCGCCCAGGAACAGAGGTCCCTGCCCTCGAGCTGACAGCTTCCCAGGCAGGAAGCAACTCCAGCTACCGGGGAAGTGACCCAGCTGGGCAGCGAAGCGCACAGAAGGACCAAGGGAGCAGGTGGGGTGGAGGCTGTCAGGACAGACGGCTGCCTCCTAGAGAGGGCGGGGCCGGGAGGCTGGGCGGTGGGGGCCAGCCCAGAGGTCAAGGATGGGGGGCTACAAGGTGAGCCAAGTGGTCACCAGCGGGGTGGGAAGGCAGGGTGTTTGGGGCCTATCTGAGCACATCGGGGTGCGCGGGGCTCAGGATGTGTCTGGGGGCCGGGGCTGGTCAGGAGGCGCAGGGAAGGGAGAGCCAGGCTGAGGGGTGGTAACCCTGATGGTCAGGGTCTGGGTGGGGGGAGGTGGCGAGTCGGCCGAGGGAAGGAGTGCGGCAGGTCGAGGGTCCGAGTCTGCAGGTGACCCGTTCGGGGAGGAAGGTGGGGCCGGGTTTGCACCGTGGGGTCTGAGACTTCTCCCCGGGGCCCTGGGGAGTTTAGGGAGGTCGCGGCAGCAGAGGCCGTTCCTCCTGTGTGTCCCGGAGGCCACTGCTACGGCAGCCGCCCCCTCAGCCGCGGGGACACCAGGAGGTTCCACCTGACCCTTCACAGCCTGTCCTGCTGTCCTCCCTCTGGGACTTGTGTGTGGCGCGTCCGTGGGCTGCTTCTCACGCCAGCTTTTCCCACAACACTGGCAGCCACACGGTACCATGGCATCTCCTGGTGTCCTGCCCCGGACACCTGCAGGCCGCCTTTCTAAACTTCATGCTCGTCAATTCTTTCTTTCTGGGCTTTGTGCTATTAAAAAATGACTGCTTCAAATCCACTGAAAAATCACTGAGCTTGTGTGCTCAGTGAGCTCTCTGGGGCCAGAGCTGCCCCAGGAGGCCCACGGTCCTGGTCTGGGAGGCTTCGGCCCTCCCTGCCTGGATCTCCCTGTGGCCAAGCGTCCTGGCTCTGCTCTGGATCGCGGACACGTCGCACGCACGCTGCCGGTGAGCATTTCCTGCCTGGGTCCCCACTGAGGCCCGAGACCAGCTCCTCTTCCCGTGGCGGGTGAAGGTGCCCAGACAGACGCTCAGAAACAACCACGGCAGTATCACTGCTGAGGTCACAGTAATACTGCAGGTGCCAAGGGGATGCCAGCAGTAGAGAGGTCAGCAGCAGCTCGTGGGTGGCCAGCCTGGGTAGCCAGGGCCAACCCCTGATTTCCAGAGCAAAGAGCACCTCTCAGGAAACTCAGTGGAGAGACAGCAAAACAGCTGCTGCTCTGCCAGCCATACCAGCAAGCAGACCTGCCCGCAGGCACCAGGTCAGGGCAGAGCGAGAGGCCCTGCTTTGTCCCCACAGAGCCCCGAGCCTGGTGCCCACACACAGGCAGGGGAGCAACCCCACCTTCCCTTTCAGACCTTCCCAATACTGTGCGTCCCCACCAATTTCTATTAAAAAGGAAAAACAGCACAGTAAGTGGGAGACATAGGAAGGAGGAGGGATCCCAGGAAGCTGGCACACGGGCTTCAAGGGAGGGTTGGGCAGCACCCCCGCACACCCGCCCCCCGCAGCCGGGCAGTCAGATGCCGACGCGGGAGCCCAAGGCTTCCAGGACCTGCCAGGGGAGTCATCAGGAAACCTGGGGGTCTCCCAGCGTGCATCTGGGGGCCAGGGCCTCGCTGGCGATGCTTCAGGCTGTGGCCTCACCAGAGAGCAGGCACGTTTCTCTGCCTGGTCCGTGGCGCTCTGCCTACCGACCTCACTCTTCCCCCGCAAGTCCACACGCCCAGCCCCTGGGACGCACCTCCAGAACGCCTCAGCCCTCAGCCCCACGGCCTCGCCTGACCCCCAGGCCTCCTCCCAGCAAAGCGGGGAGGCTGAGACCCCAGGTCCCCGGGATCCACAGCCCCGCACTTGGAACCTACGGGCGCCAGGAACGTGAAAGGAATGAGGAGGCCCGTCTTGGCGCAGAGGGACCCCGAGCGCCCCAGAGGTGGTGGGAGGGTCTCAGGACTGGGGAACCCCCAGCCCCTGCTGCCCAGGCCCCCAGCAGCAAGCCCCCCGGGGGCGCCCACCTTGTGTCTCAGCTCCTCCTGGTCGTCCGTCCCGGCTCCGCCAGCGTCGCTGAGGACGGGGCTCAGCAGGGGAGAGGAGCCCTGCTCGGCTGGGCCCAGTGGGCTCAGGCTCGGTGGGGTCTTCTGGGTGGAGGGAAGCTGAGGACTCTCCACGGAAAGGCCTGGAAGTGAACGGGCGATGGAGCGAGAGATGAAGAAGGGCAGACCCGAGGGACAGCACCTGCCACCAGGCCCTTCCGGAGACACGCAGGCCTCAGTGTGACATAAAGCAACGGTGAGAACCGGTGACAAGTGAGAGCCCGCTTCCCCAGAGAACCTCCAGGGCTCTGGTTCCCGGGGAAGACGCAGGCACAATAGAGCCAACGGAGAGGAGGGAGCGCACGTAAGAGGCCAAACTGACGCTGACTTATCTGGAAAAGAACATGTATTCTAAGGCCAAACTCATTAACCATTCACTTAAAACACTGGATCACACTCGTCATACTGTTTTCTACTTCCCTGAATTGTTCGTTAGCAAGGATTTTATTCTGATTTCTAGAATCATACCACAAAAGTAACTAATACTTAATTTTTTCCCCTTCTGAAAATGATGTTTGCTTTTGACCAGACTGAAGCCAAAATTCTGGCCTCATTCTATTTCATCCAACATTTTGTGATCCAGAAATTTTCTATTTAAAATTTCTATTTAAAATTTTCTATTTAAAAAAATCCTCAAAGGTTTATTTCTAATGTTTTTCTATGAGAGATTAGTAACTATTAAATGCCACGTTTGAAAGTCACCTTAAAGCAGAGTTTTAGAGGAGACGTTTAACTGTTCAAAAGCAATTTAAGATAGACATTTACCTTGAGTTTATAAATGTATAGCGTTTTAACACCCAAACTACCATTATCTCTAAGTATGATTATTAAGTCGGTTTACAAAACGCTAGAAGTAACACAACCAGGTTTCAAAACGAGATCCTTTCACACTGTGATTGGGGACCAAATGCAGTTATCCACGGTGACCAGTTTATAGACCCAAAACTTAGTTTATTCAGCCTAAAGCATGAAGTGTGTAGGAGGCAGGCTGGTGCAGAGAGCTTCCTGCTGGCCGGGCTGCCACGCAGAAGCTCCTGCAGCCCTCCACCGTGGCCTGACGGCGGGAGGGAGCCCTTATTTTCACATTGACAAGTTCAGAGCTCTGGGAAGCCGGGACCCCACTCAGGGCTTCTGGGGATGGGCTACCAATGCCGGATAGCAGAGCTCTCCTCTGGGATTCTCACAACCACACAGATTTAAGACACAGAGAAACGTTCACTGACATTAGAAAACCTGGACAACGTAAGGACGTGAAATTATCGGAACCAGTTTTATTAAAATCTGCTTTTATTACACATTTAAAATAAGCTAAGCCACCTTAAAAGAGCGTGCCTTGCCTACGTCCCCTCCCCCGACAGGCCTGCACTGTCACTTCTCCGGGGACCAAACCGAGCAAGGGCTCTGGGCCGTGCCCGAGGCATGGCTCCTTTGACTGCAGAAGAGGCTCGTTTCCGGCTGAGCTGCTCAGGATCACACTCCAAGGCCGCTGTGCCCCTAAGGAGCCCGGAATTGCTTAATAAGACACCTTCACACAGTGAAAATTCAGAAAAGATGTAGAAGCTACTAATAAGCTACTTATTCTTCCAGGCGTGTTGCTCAAGGTGTGAGAACCAAGACGCTCACCCTCGTTGGTTCTGAGAACAAGTCCATGGGGTGACCCTTGCGTCTTCCCGCCCCGCACAGCCCTCCCGCCCGACAGAAAGCTACTAGTGCACAGTTTACCACAGAGTTCTTGCAAAACCTGACTTTATTTTTACATAGCAGAAGGTGACAGGTGAGGAGGTGGTGTTAGCTCTGAAGCCTCCCGTGACAAGGCCAGGGTGGGCTCGGGGGCCGACAAATGGGCCGACGAACGGGAGACCAAAGCCCAGCAAGCGACCGCCTCGGGACAAACAGCTCGTCTGGAATAAACTGCTTTGATTCCAGGAAGGTTAGAAGCCATCATTTGATATTATCATTGTAGACAAGGCTGCCCTCACATCTGCAGGTTCCACATTTGAAGACTCAATGAGGATGGAATATATCGGGGGGGGGGAACGTTCCAGAAAGGTCCCAAAAGCAAGACTTGAATTTGCCGCTCTGGCAACTGTTTACACAGCATCTTACGTTGCATTTACAACTATTCACAGAGCATTTACACTGGATTAGGTGTTGTACCTAATGTAGAGATGATTTACAGTATCCGGGAGCACGTGGGTGGGTTGTATGCAAATACGACGCCATCTCACATAGAGACTTTCCTGTCAGGGGTTCTGCTATTTGTGGGGTCCTGGAACCAATCCCCCGTGAATACTAAGGGACAACTGTACTTACGATTTCACAAAAATTGTCAACTCACAATTTAGTGACTCGATTAAGAAGCACCACAAACAGACATTAAGCATTTGTTTTTATTAAATCTGTCAGCCGCATCAAAACGTAATACATCGTACCTACATCAAACTCTGTCAACACAGACGCTACGAGACGAAGCGAATAAATCTGCAAGGAGCTGTTTTCAAGCAAGGGGCAGTAAACGAGGCTGCTGGAGCGTGCGGGCCACTGCCTCTCTGTCGTGACGCCAGTGACGCGAGGGCCCCACGCCCAGAGCACGCCCGTGGGGCCGTGGTTCTGCTGGCCAGTTCCAGGAGCGGCCGGGGCGCGTGAAGGCTGCTCTGGACCGTGTGGTGGCGTGACAGGCTCTGACCTCAGAAAGCCCTGTCCACGTGGACGACCTGTATTAGAATGCACACCAACAGGCAGATTGCGTAAGCATTTTTAAGATGCTAAACGTCAAGTTTTAGGTGCCACAGAGTATGTGTAGCCTTAACTGACGTGGTGAAGAATCTTAAATGTCTGTAAACCCAGACCTCTGCGTCCAAGGTCCTCTACTGTCAAACAGCCAGGAGGAGTCAATGTCGCTCTGAGTCACAGGACCCGCTCACACGTAGGTGGTGCGCTACTGCCCCACCGTGGCACCGAGAACCACCAAATCCTTGCAGACGAGACAGGTTTGGAAATGCTTCCAAAAGGAAATGCTTTGGGATGGGTGGACAGCTCTCCGTTTCTGCTGTCCACCCAGAGTTCACAGGCAGCCTCTGCTCTCAAAGGTGCAAGGTTTGACCGTCTTCAAAAAAAACACTGCAGGGCTTCCCTGGTGGCGCAGTGGTTGAGAGTCCGCCTGCCGATGCAGGGGACATGGGTTCGTGCCCCGGTCCAGGAAGATCCCACATGCCGCAGAGCGGCTGGGCCCGTGAGCCATGGCTGCTGAGCCTGCGCTCCGCAACGGGAAAGGCCACAATGGTGAGAGGCCCGCGTACTGAAAAAAAAAAACACTGCAAAGGTAAAACTTTCGTTTCAGTCAGTCAGCAGTGAGCCACCCTGGGAGATGATTTTCTTTGTGGCATTCTTTATTTCCAAACATTTCTAAATATCCATCTGATAATTTTTGACATCGTTTTGAGAAGCGCAGTACTGTGCTTTGTGTAACCTCCTTATCGTCTGACCAGGTGATGAAAGAGAAACATCACATTTAGACAGGAAGCTCAGCTACTTTTATTTCATACCTTTAAATTCTCTTCTTCAAAACTCTGTAATAAAATAAACAATTTTGAAACTTTTTGCCTTATAGCGGAGCAAGAGTCAGCTCCAGTTTGGAAAGTTCAACGTCAAGTTTGAAGGTTAACATGATGGAGGGAGTGTAAGATCTAGAAGCTCCCTCTGTGGCTGGAACAGTGATCACTAATCCCATAAGAAAAGGGAAAAGCTGATTTTTCCAAAGCACCCAGGTAAGCGTGACCCTGATGAGCCGCAGGAAACCACGTCTGGCTCCACTTCTGAACTAGGACGTCACGAGTCTCTTATGGGAAACATGGTTCATAAAATAAAGTAGGAGGTAAAGAAGCGGCTACTCCGAGGGGCCCGAGGCCCAGCTCACCCCTTCCTCCTGCTGTGTGTTCGCCTGCCTCCCAGGGCTGTGACGGCTCGGTCTGCAAGTGGCTGTGGTCACCTGAGACTCAGGGGGGGACGTCTACACGCATGGCGCACCCGGGGCATTTTCCCGAGTCTTCTCTTCTGTTTCCTTCTAAGCAAACAAGACTCTTTCCTTGTTAAGAGAAACGGGGGTGCCAACCTACAACTCATTCACACTCTGGGCCACTTGTCCGGATGACGCCCGCCAGGTGTGGGGTCTCCTCTGCTGACACGTGTAGGTAGTCCAGGGTGCACGTCCTTGTTCTAATAAATGACACATTTTGTCTAAAGTTTGAGAAGCTGTGACTTATGGATCTTCTGAACTATTGGAGCGACGGAGGCAAGGGCCCCGAAACAAACTATTCAAGTAAACTAGGAAGTGTGGAGGTGACGTGCGTTAGGAAGGAGGTGCAGCCTGTGAACGTTCTTGGAAGTAGAGGCCACACAACTTTTACCCTCCTAACTGGTCACCCTGTGCATCCACTGGGTTCATCACGGAGGTGTTGCCACCTCATCCCCGCGGGGGTGACGGCAGTGGGGGCGTCAGTGAGGGACGGGCCGGTGTGATGGGGGAAGAAATGGAGACCCTAGTGATCCACTGTCCTCTGCTCTAAGGGGGGGTCCCCCAGGGAGTTCATGCCAACAGGAGCCTTTCTAGACGCTGCCAGCCACCTCCCGCCCCCATCACACTGGGCGCCAGGTGCCTCGAGACCCCAGAGGGAGCCCGGCCCCCGCCCCGAGGGGCCTGCGCTGCCCCAAGCACCCCGTCCTCAGCCGGCTTGCTGCAGCCACTGCGCAGGAGTGGGGCAGCCCCGAGGCCTGAGAGGGGCTGAAGAGGCAGACAGCTCCGTGGACGCAGCAGAAGCTCGTGGCAGCCGAGAGAGGGTCCAGGAGGAAAGGCCAGTTCAGAATCTGAGCAGCTGCCACACTTCGGGCCAGGGACTTTATCAGGTGGGGTCTAGCTGACTGCGGGGAAAAGGCAATAAAACGGTCTCATTTTCAGAGTTAAGAAGCCAACAGCACGTGTTCTGTGCACTATAAGCCCAAGGACCGTGCAGTTCAACCCCGAAGCTGCCAACAGTGTTGCTCTCAGCCGGCACCTTGGAGGCTCATGCGGGCCCAGAGCCAGCAG